AACTACCTATTTCGCCCGCTACTGACCAATCACAAAACTAAAACAAAGTCAATACCGACCGAAAAGAGGGAGTTTGTTTTAGGTTTTTCCTGTCTTCTATGTTTTAGAAGACGCCCAAGAGGTACTTTGCCAGTTAACCCAATTTTGACTTGCCTTTAAACTGGCAATAAATAAATAGATCGAAGCGCGTGGAATTAACTAATTTTTATTACTTGAAAAAGTATTCATGATCCACAAACACACTTCGCACGAGAAGTCTAAACGGTCAAACAGCGACACATTTTTTCGATATGAAACCCGCTGTTGTTTGGTTTATCGCACGTTATCCGTGTAGCTACCTATCCTACCTATCCAAGGCATGCTGCTCTGCAGCAGCTCCATTAAACTACTGATACATCTTGCTTACACTTTGACTGAAACGTAAGAAATTGGTATTATCCCCCTAGCCTAAGCTTGACTAGTAGCATTTTGGAAGGGCCTCCAGACACCTCTTAGGATGTTTAGCATATGAATCCTTTAATAGATCGAAAATGTGGTCAGATGATGCTGAACTTGGCTGATGATATCCGTGTGTTTATCTACACGCAGACTGGTACGTAGTTCACTTCTGAGCTAAGTAGATCACCCGCGTACCCGAAGGGCAGTTGTCCAGGGCTCCATCCACTGGGTATTCCTAGTTTTTTTACGCATGCGGATTAAACGGGCGTGGACTGCGATGTCTCCCGATTATGTTTCGCATCATAATACATGTGATTGCGCTGTCCTGTTGATAACTGGCACGTCGCGATTGGCTTACTGAACATATCTTTTTATTCATGCAATCTCTTCGACCTGCAATTATTTCCCCAGACTGTCAGAGGGATATCCGGCGCGTCACAAACAATTTTACGATAGTAAACAGAAACTGAAAAGTCAAACAATGATTGCAGTAGCATGCGAAGCCTTCCTAGCGTAAGACTGCCCTGAATCGGCCGCCAGACTTCGAGCGGCTAGGAATTGATTTGGCAAATGGTACGACCGTACATGCCTTCCTCTCGGATTCGTTAATGAAAGTACATTGCTTTTAGTTTCCTAGCTTGTCACCCGCCCTTGCCTTCGTTACTATCTTTCGTTTTGCGCTTCGCAGCTTTCAAAACACCATGCTATCATAACCAGCGAGTTTTCTTCTTGTAGATGCCTACTTTTCTACTTTTGTTTTTATGGACATCGGAACAACTGGTCTCCCAACCCACCAGTTTCATCCCAATATAACCGAACTATCTCTCCTTGCCATCAGTCGGGATGCTTTAGAAGACGAAAAGGATGTTCCACGTTACCAAAACAAACTTGTGCTTTGTTTCCATCCACGGGGAGGAATGCGAGGACTGCCAGCGAAAATATCTCGTAGGTCATGTGTCGTTCCTTATCAATATTTTTTAGAATTAAATTACAAAAACCTATGTAATCAAGAGGACTTCGATGTCCTGGCAGTAGAAGAGATCCAATTGTTTCTTCGTCGTTTGGAGCCACCAATATGCCTCATTGCGCACAATGGATTTAAATTTGACTTTCCGATTTTAAACTCCAAAATATGGGATGTGAAGGGAGAGTGTTATCGTCTCGTCGACAGTCGGGGCGAAGAAGTAGCTTGCGCCGACACGCTACACTTCTTTAGGGCTTTCCCGCAAATATTTTACCCCGTGAGCCCCAATTACTCGGTTAACTTATCCACTGAAATCGGAGAGCTTCAGATTTCACCTCCTGTGCCCGAGGATGCACCATCAACTCAAACAAGACCATTCGCTCTCGAAAATTTATATACCAACGTCTTTGGAGAACCGCACCATGCTGCACATACAGCCGAAGGTGACTGTATTGCCATGATAAGGTTAGTACGGTACCTGGGTTCCTGTGCTTTCTCTTGGTTTGATTCCACTCACCGACGTCTTTCACACATCAGGTAACGGAAAGTGATCTTCAAACCCTTGGTGCTCAAGAATTCCCTATGCTATCAAATGCTCATGTTTGAATGCTACTTCATAACTTATATTGTAGTTCGCGTACTTAATGCTACTTTTGATCTGCTTGAATTTGTTTTTTTATACTTTTCTGTACTCGCCTTGCTAGTCTTATGTCTAGTTGCTCAGCATGAACCACAAATTAAATATTCTTTCCGTACAGTGAAATCTGTTTCAATGTCCTTTTTAATTTATTTACATTTCAAAGGGCCTAATTTTAGTTTAGGAGGGTCCTTGCAAAGTCCTTAAGTTGTTTCGTTGAAATCGCACACAGTTCTGTCCACTACAACGAGTATCTACTAATTCGGGCCTATTTTAACTGTCTAGATTGTGAAGACAAGTAACAGGGTCATCTCATCACCGAATCCTATCCGGTTTGGAATTCGGTACTTATATTTGTTAGCACCAGGAAGGTACCATCTGTACAAAATTAGTTTCATAAAAACACAAAAAAATTATAACTATGTGCGCAGATCAAATCTACCAATTTATAATAATGTCGGCAGAAATTGTTTTAGGGCAATATTTGGCGAGGTTCTTTAATTAGTGGTGAACAAGAAACTAGGCTTCATCATATACTCCAAGTCAATAGTTGCACAAATTTCTTTCAGACGATGATTCTGCTTGTAATATGGTTAAGGAAGAATGTTGACTCTTTGTAAATTACTTATTGATCGTTGTATTAATTGAAGGGTAAGTTTTTTATAAGTTCCATCTACAAAGCAGATGAGAGGGGATTTCCGAACTTCAGTCAAATATGACTTTCAGCACCGTCTCCTAAGCAAATCTGCATTTTTCTTCGGGGGCATCAATTACCAAATTCTTATTCATCACCAAGTGAAAACGTCCATAGTTAAGCTTCGTTCATTCGACAGTAGTTTTGCTTTTGTTTTGCTCTTCGGCGTGGCCGGAGTCATTTACCAAGTCAGAGAGGAAGCAAGTGATTATTCGGACTGCTGATCGGTTCTTAAGTAAATACGTCCTTGCCTTGGATTGCGACAATTGATTTCAGCTGAGTAACCTGGCCAAAGTATCACCTGTCGAATCATAAACTTGCGAGGACCTGCGGCAACTCAGAGGAAATTGACTCACATAAAGCTTCGGCAGTCTTTTCAGTCGTTGCAGAATGAAAACAAAACTATCTTACACCTACCCCGTTGCATGGTCTTGGTCCATTAAGCCTACTTAAGAAAGTCATTGAGTAAATCCAATAAACTACAGCGATTCCTACCGTCAATTATTGCCCTCCTTAAACTTGTCTGTTGCGAGGAGCATTTCTGCCATAGTACGTGGTAAATAAAATATTAAATAGCAAGAGCGTGAAGTTTTCAATGCGGTACGTGCAGGTAATTGTTTCTTGTTTTTTGGGAGCTAAGCCGTGACTGTAGTCTGCCTTCGAAATATCGGGAATCGCCCATTCCAGTCTCATTTTGTACATTTGCCTTCATATGTTTAACGAACACTTATTTATACGTTTGTCTGATCGACCATCTCCATCGCCCGGCTATGTGAAACACTGCATCGCGTCATAGAGCGGAAAATCCATGTGTGCGAGTTGCTCAGAGCAACCGAATTTACGCAGTATTTTCCGTAGTCCATCGCAATTCACCGTGTCGAAGGCTTTCAACAGGTTCACGGGCGTAGTGTAGAGGTAGTTCCGCATCTCCGGACGCTAATCTTGTAGCTGGCGAGCGGCGAACATAATGTCGGTTGTCCGGTGGCATCTTCGGAATCCACGTTGTCTTCCCGGAAATAGTCCTTATTTTAGGCAGATTTTAAGCTTATTCATAAGAATGTGAACAAGGAGCTTCTCAACGACATTCAAAGAAAGTTATCAAAGGCCAAAATACAATCCAATCCTCTCACGATACGCAATGTATGCGTATTTGCCTATGACGGAAAGGGAGATTTCGGTTTTGTATCGGATTGCATAAGGCAAGGAGTTTCAGTCTTTAACCATTTTGGCGGGCTGTGGTTTAAAAATGGTCGCAGTTCGCATAGAGTAAAATGCAAGAGACCAAGAAGAGCACCGCATGAGCATGATCATTCATGACTGACCGAGGAAATCATCGTTAGCGTTACAAAACATAGGAATCGACAGAAGAAGTGGGCATTTTTCAGTCATTGCCGAAAAGGTAGAGGGAACGAAAACGGCTGCAAAAATCGTTTCTCTAGGGGGGCAACATCAGTGGATTTATGAGCCAATTAATATCAAGGTGGGTCGCCTCAAATCCCAGGAGGACCCGTTTCAAGGTCCAAAAGATGAGTGTTTTGGAAGGAAACGGACAATAAAGACTTTAAATCTTCCGAATTTAAATGTTTACATAATTAGGCTTTCCGTGTCGTTAGTGGGGCGACAATCTAGTTTCGTGTTGTATATTATTCCAGAGGAAAATATATTTGGAAATAAAAAAAGGGAAAATGGGAATACGTGGATAAAAGAGGTGAAGAAATGATCATAGAAGTATGACGTGTGGCATAAATTAAGCAACTAGAGTGATAACGTTAATTATTGGATGATTCGGACGAGAATTAACACAAAACAGGAAGCAGAGGTCAGTTTCGTGTCTTATAGTTCACAAGGGTTTAATTTTCGCTATTGCAAATCTCTCAGTTTAAGAGAAACTACATCCAGACTGAGAACAGTGTCTTCGCGTAAAATCTCTTCAAACATTTTCGATCTTACAACGGTCATAACCGTTCATTTGTACTACAAAGGGAAAGCATATTTCCAGGATAGAGAAAGCCAGCATGTGATAACATTTTAATATTATTTTCAGAAGGGAAACATTAGGTGATATAAAACGAAAAACAAAAAGCAAACATCGCTGAGCCACGTAAAATAGTATTTCCATAGTCCGAAATCGTTAATCTGCACCGTTAAAACGACTTCGGTCGGATATTTTTGGCTGCAGATATTGTTATAATAATATCTCCAGGCATAACATTAGAGGCTGCATCCAAACTGTTAGGGAAACAGAACATAGGCGTTTACAGCATGGGCCCAGTCACACGTAATTTGAATGAGTGACCTCTCGATTTCTTGGTTATTATTAATTTATAAATAAATAATAAATAAATAAATTATATATTTAAGGCCCGGAGGGCCTCGTCATTTGCAAACTTAGTGCTGTGGAAAAATAAATA